ATTTATGTTAACTAATATATGGCATGAACTAACACATGTGGATATGGGTTGTAACAATTATCTTGTTGATGCTGACTCCCGGATGGACCACCATAATCCAACACACAAAACTAGGCATATTCCAATTGGCTGTTGGTTCATAACTTGTAAAATTCATATCTGGTTGGTATCCCCTGTGGAATATATGAGTGTTAATACAAACATAATACACTAAAATATACATCTTAACACAAAGGAAAATTGAAGTTTACCACTCGGCTTGTGGATTATGTATACTAGGGGAGAAATTATTTCCTCGCTCCTCATTCGCTCGTGGAGATAAGTTTAGATCCGGCAAAACTCTTTCAGCCGGAACCTTTTCAGTCAAAACTGCTCCAAAATAACTACCCGATGATTGGGAGATTTTCCTACTTTGCACAATCTCATTATTGCGAACGTCTTCAGCACTAACATACATTTCCAACAGTTTTATCACAATAAATTCCCGGTATTTATCCGGAGTCCTCAAAAAATCTCTCAAAGTTTCATCGTCTTCGATGTTAAACTTAGCATAACAAGCAACCCTTTGTGGAGTCACAAAATATGGATATCTTCCGGTTATTTTAAGGTTCATGACTGAACGTTTGCTCATACTCATTTTTTACATTACAACGATATCAATGTATCGTACTCCATTGTAAGTGGCAACTTAAATGAGACTGTGGAGATAAACTATAGTTTACTGAGTTATTCACCACAACAATCTCACCCACCAATATAATGAAGCCCTAATTCTTTGCTCTTCAGACATTATGATAAAATGCAAACCAACTTAAGGAATAAAAATTTCACAAGACTTGAGAATTTTTCTGAATGAATTTTTACAAAATCCTTAATGTCTTTAAATAAGGCAATGCCCAAGCACAAGGGTTGAATTTTTTGAGGTGTAACGCCTTTAATTAGGGCGCTATACCCATTTGAATTATTGTTATGACAGTTAAGTGCAGAAGAATTATTGGTGGGCCCACAAAACATATATAGCGCCCTTTATTACGGCGCTATACCCTCCTGTCTTTTCAAATTCAAGTATAACACTGTAATAAAAGGCGCTATATGTATAATACCCTTTTAAAGGGCGCTATACCTAACTGTGCAAACGACCATTAAGGTATTGCGCCCTTTAAAAGGGCATTATATGTATTTTGGTCATTAACTTTTTTTTCATACATTTCCATCGTTTGAGTCCAAAAGAACCACATTTTGGTTCCGGACTCTTCAACTAAGCACATAGTATTCGATACATATAAAGATCATTTCAACATGTAATTTGCTATCATAAAACTTCCTTGAGTAAACTTGGGAGCTCACACAGTTTGAGAAGGAGAGTTTCCATCTCTACATTCTCCATTGAGCTTGAAAATAAGAATTTGAGGTATTTTTGTACTTTCTCTCCTTGATTTACTTATCGTCTCATGAGATCGAATCTTTTATAGTGTATACATATCCTGAGATTAAAATATTACGTACGCTTCAGTAATCATATAGTCCGTTGACTCACTCCAAGTTCAAGAACGTCTAAGGGATGCACGCCGAGGAGCTGTATGATCTTCAATAATTGACTAGAAGATGTTTGGAGAATTACTTGGAGGATTCATGCAAAGAATACCATGTTTGGAGTGTTGAGAATTGAAGAATCAAGACCCCAAGTCAAATCGTGTGACACGATTTCACCAACCATTGACTACGGTTCAAGAGGGGCTTGAAGAGCTGAAGAAAATAAGCTTTTGAAATTCGACACGGTTTGGCTGTGTGTTACAGTTGGGGTTACAGTTGAGGCTATGGTTTGGCCTGACGGGTCTTTTGGGAAATTAACTTGGAAACTTTTCCTATTTTACCCATTGAGTATTTATAATAGCCCATAGTTATTTCGTTAGCCACTTAACATATTTTGACATAAGAAAACTCTTGAGAGATATTTGGAACCTCTTGGTTCTAGTTCGACTTTGTATTACTTGTTTTCAAGACTTGAGTTCTTGAAGGTAATCTTTTTCTCCTTTCTTTATATCTAGGACTTCTAATTTGTCGTTTTTGGGAGGCGATCAGATAGTATTTTGATTGTTGCTTGAAACGTTTAATTAGGGTTCTAGATTTTCTTCATTATTCAGACTACTTTGATTATCTTAATCAAACCTATCATTAGTTTTACTTTTATTATTGTTATTTTCATGTTCCGCTATTTTGTTTATCTTGGATCGTATCAAGGAGAAAGTTAATTATATAAATATGCGTACAATTTGAGTACATGACATTAAGGACGAAATCATGCTAAAGAAAAGAGTGGAATTTTTGTTCGTAATACTATAATATTTTTTTATTTATTATAATGGTGGTGTTCATATTAATTTATGTGCACTTATTACTTTTGTCCTCCCCTAGTTCCAATATCAGGCAACGCCTACCAAAATTTAAATATTGAGACATTATATAACACTTTTGGCTAATATTATCCTTTATGTTGAAGGATAAGTTTAACTACCAAAATTTAAATAGAGAGAAATCTTATAATACTTTTGACTAATATCATCCTTTATGTTTACGGGTAAGTTTAACTTTGTCCTTAAAATATAAATTTGGACATTATATGTCCTAAAAAATGACAGCAATGGAATGCCAATCCTCGGGCTTTATTTGTAAAGTCTATATTCCTTGGTAATCAAAGCCCAAAGATCTATGAATTAGCCCATGCTTGACTAGCCAAGCAGACAAACGACCCTGCATCTTTTTTATCTCTCCCGCATTTTTATTTATATAAGTATTTCACATTTACGATGAAATTTCTGAAAATTGACGCACCACTTTTTATTATGGACAAAGGAATCCTGTCTCAGCCACTATAGCTGTTCGGAACCCACAAACCATTCCGACCGGGGGTCAGAATTTCTTCGAATATGTTCTTGAATTTATTCGAGATGTGAGTAAAACTCAAATTGGCGAAGAATATGGGCCCTGGGTTCCTTTTATTGGCACTATGTTTTTATTTATTTTTGTTTCTAATTGGTCAGGAGCTCTTTTACCTTGAAAAATCATACAATTACCCCTCCCCCCATGTGTCGGGACCTAAACCGTGGTGGTGCTCTTCTACAGCTTCTTCTACATAGGCTCCGTAACTTCTGGAATTGAAAAATGAAGCTTTTCCAAGCCCGAAGTTTATAAAACTTTGAGCACATTTAAAACCTATTTGGCCAAGTTTATTTGTTAATTATTTATTTCATTATCGAATATCATTAACTTATAAACTATGTATGTTAATATATGTGTGTATAAACAAGTTTTGATTGTCACTAATAAAAAAACTTCTAAATTATAATTTAAAATTCATTTACAATATAATCTTTAGGAATTTGTTATAAAAATAATATTTATTTTTATCAATAATTTTTTATATTAACTGCATTGAAATATTTTTATAAAGTTCTGACTCTTTTTTATTTTTACTTTTGTAAATAGATATTAGAGCTTGATTCTTTGTCTTGAAAATAATATTTTTATAGTAAGTCTGTCGTATATATTTTTGAAAAAGAAATTTTTCGTGATTTTTAAGAAGTTTAATAAAATAAGTATTTTAAAAAGTTATAATTGACACATGGGGAAGAATATCTATCGTTTAAAGTTGAGGGAATTTTATTTTTTAAACACAGTTGAATGATTTTCACCCCTATTAGTTATTACTCTTGACAAATATCAGTTCCATTCATAACATTTGTTTGGAACAATTATGAACTCTCATTCCCTCGCTTTGCCATAAACCCCTTTCTAAAACCCTAGAAAATAGCACTTGGTGAAACATTCATACTAGGGCACAGAATATCCGGCGAAATGCCAGGTCTGACGTCAGAGTCCGACGACCTTGCAATGGTCCCAGTCTCGTCGGAGCCGGAAAATCATCCGGCGGTCATCTATCCTCTCCATCACGGTCTCAAATCCCCGGTTCATCGACTCTCCATTTCCTGGGCGCGTGGCAACACTCTCCAAGTCTCAGTTCTCGGGAAACCTCAGTTGGACACGGCGACAGACGTAGACGGCGGCGAGAGTGGCGGCGGTAGAGTGGTGGAGGTGAAGCTGAGTAACAGCGGAGATGAGGTAGTTGATGCCGCAAGATGGAGGAGAATAGCTTACGGTTCCGTCACTCCTTTCGCGCTTCTTCAGAGCCGCAAACATTCTCTGTCTGCTATGTCGTTGGATAACCCTCCTTACAAGGCACAGTGGTAAAATTGTGTAACTTAATTTAGCTCTATACCAAATGCACTCTATATTGTGATAAGTGTCTGGATTTAAAATGTAGTTTATAAAAAAGCAAAAAAATTTAACTTTGGAATTAGTTAGAGAGGATTGAGGAAGACTAACTGCGTGATACTTGTGTTTTCTGAATGTTTATGCAATTTATAATTTTTCATCAAGTAAAATGAATTTCATTTATAATGGAAAAGCTCCTTTATATAAGAGGTATACCTAAAAAAGAGAACCGCAAAATGATTTGATTCTCTACCAAAGATACCCAACCTTCTGGACGAACTACGAATAGGAATCTCATGGGTGAACGAAAAAAGCATATGTATGAAATCAAACTCTTTTAAGCCCTCCTGTTTTTCTCTTTCCATGCAATTCACATAAGTGCTAATGGAGCAACATTCCACACCCTGTGTTCTTCTCGTCCATCTTCTAAAAGTCTAGCTAAATGGAGCATTTTTCATAGTGCATGATATGGTTCATTGTAACTGAAACCATCTCTTAATCTCCTATTACACACGTGAATTTACCTGACAATGCAGTAGTAATGAGCCATGTCTTCTTCCGAATACACACGAAGCACTAGCTAACTGATGTAATCCTTCTTTCCCCTAGATTTTCACCTGTTAGAGTTGCTTCCTTCAGCGCCAACCAACAAAAAAGTACACCTTTCTTGGCACACTAGGAACCAAATTGACTTACGAGAGATGCCCGACTTCCCTCTGGCTAGCAACTTATTGTAATGATGTAGTTTTTACTGCAAATTATCCACCTTCTTCTACCTTAAAGAGTCCTAGCTTTCTAGATCTTATTGGTAAGGTTTGTTTATCAAGCATTTCAAGCAGACTGTGAAATTCTGCTGATCTCCCCATCATGAAAGTTCCTTCTAAGTGTAAGATCCCAAAGCACACTCCCATCATGTAAACTCGGAGCTTTCTAGACTTCTATCTCTTTTTGGCACAAAACTCTGCAGATGCTTGGAAGTGTGATCCTCAACATGTTCTTTCGCATCACATGCTACCTGAGAACTAACCTTGCTTCTGTCTCCTACCCTGAATGAGATATTTAGGTAAGTTTTTGGCAGTGGTGGTCCTGTGGCTGAAACCTTCTGTATAGGATTTGCAGGACTCCTTAGGCAGTTAGGTCATATATGAATGATGTGATGGGTTAATTTTTTGAAGTTTGGGAGTTGATCTCCTTTTTCTTTTGAAAATTGGATTTATTTATTTGAGAGCTGCATAAAATATACTTTAAGTCACAATTTTGAAAACTAAAAATATTTAGAAAATGAAAGAATCATTGTCAAATAAACAGTTGTTTGGCTCTATGAATAGTAATGATGTTGTATAAAATGGGACAGAGGACGTCTGTGATTAACGTGGGTGAGGCAACCAGTTAATACCAAACATCCGATAGTTGCTTTCCTTAATGGCTACCCGCTTTCGAGTGAACTGAACTTTTAATGTGGAGCATGTGTTAGTATAAGAAGTTGTAAAGCTGGCGACTATATTGCGCTTGCTTTTCAATGATTTCTGCTAGGAGCCTATGCAGAGATAAGTCCTCTAGAAGTAAATCATGTCACGCCACCTAAGAGTTGATTGACCAAGTGTTTCTTCACGGCTCTTTGCTTTAGTAAAATCTAAGCTCTGTTTTGTACTGCTTCACTTCACACTTAAAAAAGAGAGGAAAAGAATACAATTTCTTTCCTTGCATTTTTTCTATAACCATGGTGTCCGGACCAGCTTGCGTGCACCTAGACTAATTTCGCGGGGTACCTGCTATCTCCCACTAGCACAAGTATTGGGTAACTCTGTCCACGATGACTTGGACACATGAGAAAAAATCACTTAGTGATTTTGCTTCAGCTGGGATTCGATCCTGAGACCTCATGGTTCTCAACCCACTTCATTGACATCTAGGCCTCTTGTTCATTTGTATATACTTGCCAACTTCCAGGATTTTTTCCCAATCCAATTACTCGTGATGCAATTTTGTAAAATTTTGATGGTGAAAAGCCAGAGGATTTGTCCTTATCAAAAAAATTAAAAGTCCAGAGGATTTATTTTCTCCCCTACTACAACAGAAGAGTTCCAAGTCACATAAGCTTGAAGTTCATTTCTCTATTAGAGACCTGATAGAGTTTTAATCAGCACTATAACGGCTTGAGTGGATGTGTCCTTTCATTGGGTCACTTGTTGACAGTTGTTGCATTTTCGGTGTAAAATCAGGTGGGAGCATGTCATAGAGTACGGCAAAGAGATAAATTCTCTGCTCAGTGATCGAAAATCACCTCCTAGATCAATTATTGAAGATCCCAAGTCGGTAGTAAACGTGAGTAATTGTCAATTCATCACACATTTGTTTTGGCTGTATGCAGACTCTCAGCTTAGCTATAGTATTTATCTGGTGGCTGTCTGTGCATGTTAGGAAACTGCAGAGCCGATGTGTTTGAAAGCTGCGTGGGAGCTTCTGGAGATATTTTATGTAGACAAGCAATCTCAATCCTGGATTCCCGAACGTTTGCTAGATTGGTTAGCTGTATGTTTTTTTCTATTTTATGCAAGTTTCCTTGATTTTCTCTGATAGATGTCACAGATCTCATACTCTGTGGAGATATACATTTCTTCCAACTTAATGCACGTTTCATTCAACAGGACTACGATCCTTTATTCTCGGGAACTGTACCAACTATTCATTCAAAGCTTGTGGATTTTCAGCAGGAACTTGCTGACGTACAGGTGTTGTTGTCAATTGATTTCCCTGTGAACTTTACATTCATTGGGCCTATGGATTGATAAATTATTAGTCAGAATTTAGGTACTATATGTTGACTGGATATGGATATAAATGTAGAAATTAAAATTTAATTGTATTTAAACAGGAGTGAGTCCAAAAGTAGAGCGGATATTACCATTTGAAAAATTTAAACTTTCTTTAATGAAAAGTGGCAGAGTGATACTTATTTCATGGGTAGGATATTCAAAAGAAAATCATTTGTGTAACCAAAATTACTTTTAGGAAGTGGATTTTGGCACAATACAAAATAGAAATTAGGATAGTTAAACTATGACGGGAGGTGTAGCAATTCCATCTTTCTATGCTCATTTCCACTTAATTTGCTCATCACAGGTTGTTGAAGAAGATCCTAACTACTGGGAAGCAATAGCATCAGCATTGTCAGTTGGCTGGCTGGGAACTGTGGTAAGCATATCACTTTTGGATGGATATCAACCATCAGAAGTGACATTCGAGTTTTGTTGCTTGTTAGTTATATCAGGATTTTGTTTAAGGAGCATACATAAGTCTATAGTTGCCAATTTTACAGGCAAAACTGCTGCGCTTGCATGGCTCTTACCGGTTTGATCAGTTAGCTAGTCGTGAGGTAAGAATTTTGAACTTAACCTGCCAATTTTTGTTTTGAACTTATGATCAGTGGCTGTGTAGCATACTTTAACTCAACCTCGAGTATTCTCATAACATCATATTCTGTATCTACCTGTCTCTCGGTAAATGACCTGTACATCAGTTAACTTGGGAACAGTTCTTTTTGATGAAGAACTGGGAACAGTTCTTGCCTCTTCCTTATATATGATATACCTAATCATGGACTAATGAGTTGTCTTTTCAGAGCTTTGACACCTTATTAGGCCTTTTACCTTTTTATTAATTTCAAAGTCCATAACTCTTTGCTTGAATCAATTTGCTTTTTTGGCCTGAGAGATATAGTTATAGGACGCGGTGCTATTTAGGATGATAAAGTGGATTTGTTTATTCTTTTTGTGTTACATTATGCGTTCGTTAGCTTATATTTGGCATATGTTGCCTTGAGGTCAATGAAGTAGGTTGAGAACAATGAGGTCTCAGGTTCAACTCCTAGTGGAGGCAAAAAACACTAAGGTGATTTCTTTCCATCTGTCTAAACCTTGTTGGACAGTTTTACCTGGTATCTGTGCTGGTTGGAGGTAGCACGTATTCAGTGGAATTAGTCGAGGTGCGCGCAATCTGGCCCGGACACCACGATTATAAGAAAAACAGCTTGAGACACTTTTATCCACCCTTTAACCCCTCATCTTAAGCATTGAGTCATGACGGCATTATAAATTTTTTTGATGGAATGATGACAATATAATTTTGATTAGGAACTATTTAAGTTATGATGATGACGACATTATAATTTTGATTTGGAACTATTTAAGTTAAGATGATTACAGGTAATGAGTCTCTGTGGGTAGAGGACTCTCTATAATTGTGTTGAGGAAGCTTTAATTTGTTGGTGCAAGTGACAGTAATATCATCAGGCTAAATCTAGGTAATTGGTCACCTGATGATGGAGGAGCTGGTGACTGAAGCCCCCCGGAATGGCAGCTATGAAAATTATTTATTTTCATTTACCAGATAGTTTCTGAAGTTACCCGTCCCCCCAAAAAGGTTTCTGAACTAGGATTACAGCTTTCCTGTTTTTCTTTTTAACCTGTTTGATTTTTGCTCTTAAAAGACAGAGAATGGACTGGTTGAAGCAGTTGCTGTTCTTATATCCAAGATGCCTAGAATGCGTCCTAATCTGAGAGAAGAAAATTTAAGCGAGTGTTACAAAACCAAGCCTGATTTCATGAAGGTAATTTAGGCCTTTGCTAATGATCAGTGGCCGTTACTGGACAACATTTAATGCCTTTTTCCTGTTAGGCTTGGGAGAAGTGGAGGGCACAAATGACTAAACTGGACTGCAGTTCGTACTGGCTTCAATGTGATCACCAGCAGACTAGAGAAGGGCTAAAAAATTTGATCCAGATCATGTTGGGAAATCCTAGTGTTCTATCAAATGCAACTTTCAACTGGATGGAGCTTTTTATATCCCATTTCTTGTACGTTAGGCCATTTACTGCGGTCAGTTCCTTTTTCAGATTGACCTAAACATCTAAGGTCACTTGGGTTGAGTCACTTTGTTGCACAATCATCCAAAAGTAGAGAGCAAGAAGATTCTGTTGCTGTTGCATTTGCACTTAAAATACACATTCTATTTTTTGTTGTGTAGGGTCTAGAGAGCATGTACAATTTAGCTCAGAAGTGCATTCAATTAAAACCAGTTTCCAGCCCCCATAAGCTGTTTGGTCTTGTACTTGGCATTCTTGGAGAAAATACTGAGGTGAGCCACTCTAAAGAACTAGTTGTAATTTTAGTTCATGTTTAAAATTAGTGCAGAACTCATGAGCATGTCTTATCGTTTTAGGTTGTTCTAGCAGAGTGCTCAAGATCATTTGGCCCATGGTTTGTTGAACCTTCTCTTTCTATGTATTCTTTTTGGGTGGGTTGAGCACTGAAGGATTTTGTTTTCTGTCTAATTTATCTGATGCAAGTTCTTCTTTTCACCTCTCAAGGATGATGGCACATGCTGTAGAGTTGTTGACAGCTGGGAGTACTCATGCGGAAATTCTTTTGCATGAAGAGCAGTCCAAACTGGGGGGAATCAGCATAGAAGAGCTCCATAAACTTGTATATGCACAAGTTCTGTCTTCTCATGCGTTCACATGGCAAGTATGTGTGGATGCAAGCTTGAGCAATTGAATGCCTGATATACTTGTACTTATGTACTACTCCCTCCGATCCATTTTATGTGGCATTATTTCCTTATTAGTCCGTTTCAAACAGAGTAAAACCTTTCTATGTTTGGAAAATTTTCTTACTTTATACTTCCCATTTTACCTTAATTGCATGCTTTTATGGCAAAACAGAGATCTCATGGCATGTTTAAGCCAAAAGTCTTTTTTTCTTAAACTCCGTGCGCCGTCAAACTCTACCACATAAATTGAAATGGATGGAGTATTACTTAAAAATCTTCATTTTATCTTCCTGTACATGTGTAAGGTTCAGTTTTCACCCTAATAAAGGAAATAAAAGACATGAGTGAGATTCGACATGGGTACATTGTATGTCCCCAAAACATATAGGAAAATAAAACTTTGATGTTTCTGGATGGAGGCGACCTATATTTACAATTACAATTGAACCTTGAAATGATGCTGGAGAGTTTTTACCTATTAACTCCCTTGTAAAGTTTGGATACATCATGGAATTTTTATAAGCTGCTTTTGCTGAACCTGTATTCTGGAAGATCAATCTGTGGAAAAGTGCAATACCGGTTTCTGAAAACTTCAGTTTATATTTGGTTCTTCTACTCATATGTTTTGGATCTTTGTTTTTCTCACTTTCCCCCAGATTGCTCCAATATACTTGACTTCATGCATAAAGCAAGGGATTGGATTATTGGAGAATTTGCTTTACAAGCAGCCTGTACAGCATAGTCAAATTCTGTTAAAGGTACAGCTTCTGGGTGTTGTTTCTGTTGGTTGCTCACCCTCATGACTTTGCTCTACAAAATCCTGCTCTACAGCCTCGTTTCAATCTAGAGGTTCCTTATTGATGCTTGCTTAGTTATATTGCTTTTCGATGCAGAGTATAGAGATCTGCCGTCTGTATGAACTTGACACCATAAGTTCAAACATAATGAGGGTATGTCATGATATTATTCACATTGACTATCTTTAATTTCTAAGGTGTAGTCCTTTATTAAGCAGAGTAATATAGGTACTCTGATGTGATTCCCCTGTAATGGCATCTATTTGAATTTTGTGATTACTTTGAACCTATAAGTGCTTCATTTATCTCATACTTTTCATTAGATTGCTGGTATGCATCACTGGAAACATGGGAGAAAAGGCTCTGGTGTCTTTTGGCTGCAGCAAGCTCGAGATGAATTTCGTTTAAACAGAATTGCCAAACAATTATTTGATTTCGTGGGGAAGTCAGTTTCCGATGAAGGATTCAAGGTTGTTACTACTCAGTTATAGTGGTTGAGTGCCTTGTTACATATTTTCTTAATACTTTTGCAACTGTGTTAATGTTTCTGTTTGTAAATTGCACTTTTATATGTTATGTATGCTGAGTGTGTTCTGTCTTATTTCTTTTCCCCAAAACGAATGCATTCTTTTGTGTGCTGGTTTGGTAGATGATTTAACTGTTTTAAGTACTTTGCAGGCAGGTTTACGTATCTATATATTCCCAGTTATCCGAGTATGTGCATTATGAAGAGCATGCTATCTAATGGGTGAGATTGAGGTCTAGAAGAAATTTAGAACCTTTCTTATGCCAAATGTGGGTACACCACTTGCACATGTATAGATGCTGGTAGGCAAGCTTGACCAGGCATTTTTTGCTTGATTGAGCAGCTTAAGCAATGTTGGTGGTAGAATATGGTGGAGAAGCCCTTGAATATTGTTCGGATGTGATTCATGTAATGTTAGACACCTCAAAATGCTAAAAGTCCAATCTTGCTAAGCTTTTTCTTTCTTAGGATCTGGGTTAAAATGAATCCAGCCCCCAGCTAAAAGAGAAAAAGAAATACAGCAGACGGAAAATAGCCTGGAAATAGCTTGTCGGCTGATCTAGTAAAATTTGGTAGAATTTGTTCTCCACTACAGTTATCTCTATTTTGATTATCATGTATTTGATTGCTGTGTCTGAGATATTTGCTCTAAGTCGAAGTCTAGTAGTTTGGTTCTGAAACAGCATCTCTTTTCTCATAGATTTAGCTGGCTTATTCTCTTTGATCATTCTATTATTCTTTCCGTGCAGCAATGGGAAGGTCTGATAGAGTTGCTGGGTTCTGAGCCTAGAACTGCTGGCGGTCTTGAGTTTCTGAACAAGTAATTGCTTAATACTTGACTCTATTTGAATCATGGATGACACCTGTGTATACAGTTTCAAAGTGTTTCAGATCTTTGAAATTTTTACGGTTACTGCTGCACAGGTACAGGGATTTTAGGAGATCCCTGCTGCAGGTTCATGGTGATACACCCACTGATGGTGCTCATAATGCAGCTGAAGCTCTCGTCTCTGTATGTTCGATGCCTTTTATAATAATGCAGATTAACATTAGAGTGATGTAAAATTTCAGTTTGTTGGTGTATAAATTTTCGCATTTGTGATTGAGGCCTTGCTGATCGACAAGATTTACACTTGAGTGTCTACCATAAGAAACTGAAAATAAATTAATAGAATTTGTTTATGTAACCCAGCAGCCTGAATGTTGTGTAGGTTCGATTGAAATAGTTGCCAGGATAGGTGCAAGTATCTCTATTACCTGAAAAAGAACCTTTTCTTCTGCCGCCCCGGACTCAATATTTTGTTATTTACTCTGCAGCTCATGAAAAATCCTTCCACGCCTCAACGCTTTTGGTTACCTCTTCTATATGATTCAGTAAGTACCTTATCTGTTTATTGCATTTAGTTCTTTGCTCAACTTGCCAGAGTGAACTATTTTGCTTTTCAGAATCATGGAATAGCCAAATAGGTCATAACAATATAAGGTAGGAACCTCATACTTAAAAGATCTAAGATTCAATATACCATCTTTATGCGGATGTTTGGCCAACTAAAGTTGGTAATTGTTGTATAATATGTTGACTTCTTAAGCCAATTAAAAAGGTTGACAGGAATGGAGATGATGTTAGTGAGCGGGATCTAGATTGCTAGCGGAAGCAGATGTAGCATGTTTGCTACGGGTTTAACTAAACCCAGCATTTTCGACGCAGAGTATATAACTATGTAAATGTTATTAAAATTTTCACAAATATTAAATTCCATAGCCATAATTCGAAAAGTGCAATAGGTTCAATGCTAAGATTTTAAAAGTCGAAGCTATCAAGTTTAAATCTTTGATCTGCCTCTGATTGCTTGTAAATATTCAGATGTGTAATCTCTCTTTTCTTTTCTTTTTGTTTTCAGTTATTAGTATCCTGTAGCTTCATATTTCTTTTTAGTTTTGAGCAATGTTTCATGCGGTTTTATATTACTTAGCTCCCGCTCAGATGCTAAATTTTTGCTTAATTTAAAAAAGAAAAAGAAAAGAAAGGCTGGTCTGTGGGTATGTGTTAAAAATGCTCCTTTTCCTTGTGTCTGAAAACATGAATCTTAGTTCATATCAAATTAGATACTAAATTCCAAACCCATAATTCGAAAAGTGCAATAGGTTCAATGATAAGATTTTAAAGGTCAAAGCCAACAAGTGTACATCTTGGATCTGCCTCTGGTTGCTAGTAAATGTGCAATAGGTTCAATGATAAGATTTTAAAGGTCAAAGCCAACAAGTGTACATCTTGGATCTGCCTCTGGTTGCTAGTAAATATTCAGATGTGTAATCTCTCTTTTCTTTTCTTTTCTTTTTGTTTTCATTTATTAGTATCCTGTAGCTTCTTATTTCTTTTTAATTTTGAGCAATGCTATATGTAGTTTTATATTAGCTCCCGCTCAGATGCTAAATTCTTGCTTAATTTAAAAAAGCAAAAGCAAAAGAAAAGAAAGGCTGGTCTGTGGGTATGTGTTAAAAAAATGCTCCTTTTCCTTGTGTCTTAAAACATGAATCTTAGTTCATATCAAATTAGAAAAGCTAATATGTTGTGCAGGCACTTCTGCTAAAGTCTTTCAGTCAACAGTATGCCAGTGGTTGGAAAATGGGTACATGTGGTGGTGAGGGAGGGTTTGGCAATCTGTTAACTTAAGTCAAGGCCAAAAGTTAAACATGCTTTCAGATGTATATGTTATTAATAGCTGGTGCATGTTTCATTTTTGACATCATTACTTTACCTCCTTTTCTTCCTGTGCAGTTGAAATTGTTAAACTGGCAGGAGCGACCTTTGCTTAATGTCTCTCAAACTCAGCTTCTCTTGAATAAACTGCAAGAGTTGTCCATGGCAAGATTGAGGCCGGACTTTGTTGAAGCTGACTTGCCATCTGATTCCTTGAGCTCTGTCAGACTGGCACTTGCCACTAACTTGGGTCGTGCAATCCTTGAAGAGTGACTTTGTTGCCTCTGTTTCTTGCTTGAGAGGTGACCAGTTAGATCTTTTCAAGATGCCTCAAGTGTTATATTATCTCCTCTTTCCTGTGTTATTGTCTGTTCCAGGAGTGCAGTTAACTTTCAAAATGGTGCGGAACCTTGTGTCGCTGCTTGCAGCAGAAATCATGAAACCACAACTGTCCCGTTTTGTTATCTGTTTTCTTTACTGGAAATGCTGACTTGAAGAACTACATGTGTGCTGGCACTACATTGTGAATGGTACAGCCCGATCTGAGCCACTTGTGTCACCTACATGTTGCAGAGCTCAGTAGACAGCTAATCAGTTGGTATAGACAAGAAGCATTTGGATGAGGAGAGCTTCAGACTATGGGAGACTAACCGTGGCTTGACAAGAGTGAAGATGACTGTATTAGTATAAGGTTTCTTGTTTTGCTGCTCCGCTGCTCCTACTTAGAGATCTTTTTTTTTAAAATTTTGTTTTGGGATGGGGACAGGGGATTGGGGTTATCGATGTATATGCCTTTGTAAACGACCACCAAAACCCCTGCCTGTTGCCTGGTTTAAAATTGTTGAGATTGTTTTATTCCCTATGATAGAACGCTGAATATAAAAATTAATGTCAGTGTTCCTGGTTGGACTGGTGTTTATAAGATTGAAAAAACTGCTACATGCTCAATGAAGACTGCAAAAGTATGCCTTACATGTCGGAATTGGAATTGATTTTCCACCCACCTCTGCTCCTAGAATGGGACAATATAACTTCGGATTTAGTGTGATTGGTTAATTTGTTATAAGCATGTTCTATATGTTTTTTGGCCATTTATATCGTTATTATGATCCTCATACTAATGGACCTGGAAATTGAGGAAATAATATTCAAAGAATACGCATTTATCAGTGTGAAAATTGACACAATTTGGTTTATTGTGTCCATTTTAATTGTCAACTTCTGTCGTTTGACATAACTTACTTTCAACTGCCTAATAAAAATATACTTATAGATTTTGCTAATATACTACGTGGCTGTTGTAAGTTAGCCTTGTATTCACTTATTATTTTCTTCAAATGCCCCCAATAGTACTTTAAGAAGACATTAATGAGGACTTCTTCGTCTTTCTGTCAATTCTTCCTTCTACACTACTTGATACCATAAGCCAATGCCCCCTCTTATGCAGTGTAGAACTCGTTTTGGTTGCTCCAAAGTGAAAATGGATGGGATTTAAGCATATAGCTAGATTCAAACTTGTAGCTTACTCGTTTGGCTGTCCGAGGTAGAAGGCTGAAATAGCTTACTCGGGGGTCATTTGGTACGCGACATAAGGTAAGAGATTAAATTTATATCATATTTGGTTGACGGTATAAATTTATCTTGGGATAAATTATCCCAGGTTATCCCACCTTATCCCATCAAACTTGGGATTATTTTATCTTGATAAATTAATCCAGGGATTATAATAATGCGATAATTTAGTCCGCGTACCAAATGACCCCTTAGGAGTTCTTTCAATACCGAAAAATAAAAGAGCCAAGACATTGAAATTATTACCAATAAAACCGCTTCACTTTAAGTTAACTGATTACAATCATCAAGAGGTTCATCTATAATTGAGAACTACTTTCCATCTCTTTGTTTTACATATCATTATTTGGACAAGTATCTATGAAGGCATTTTCTATTACAATTTGGATATGCACAACCAAAGAAATCAAGATGAGGTAAACTTAAATTTGAAACCCAAGCATTCTGCATTACTTGTCTCGTTGACTAGATTCTGAAGGCAGAGAACTCTGACACTCCAAAAAGATCTCCTGAATCTGTTTTTTCAACAGCTTATCTTTGACACCTGCTAGCATACTACGATAAAACATCTCCAATCGGGCAAGCTTTCCACGATCCGAGGCCTCTAACATGTTTTCCCAATCCTTTGCAATGTCAAATGAACCTCCACCCCGTAAAGAGGCTGGCATATCTTGCTCTTCAAAAGGTTTTCCGAAGATGGCACCATGAAGAATGCTAGCATACCTTTCCATTAGCGACAGCTTAGATTGAAGAAGCCTTACATCCTCCGCTGCCATAGACAGTTTCTTCTCCAATTCTATCACATCTTCAGGTTTCTTTCCTTTACTACTTATATCGTCACCATCCTTTAAACTCTGCCCTCTAAATTCTGCATCTAGAGGTGGCCACAGTGCCATAGTTGGAGAGTAGCAATCGATCATCTTGCCATTTCCAAGGACACCACTCCATCCTCTACCCCAAGACCACATCTTATAGCCAGCATCTGCCAGAAGAATGGTATGGGCTGCACCGCAGGCAACTTGAACAGGTTCTGGAAATTTCGGCCCATATCGCCCAACACAGGGAATTAACAGAGGATAAATTGCATCACCTGCATCACCTCCACTATAACTTGCTTCAGGACATAGACCAAGGCCTTTCTCCATTCCCCATGACCACACATCTCCAGCAGATGAGACAATACTAGTGTGAAATAAACCGCAGTCAACAGAAATGAGAAATGCACTCCGCGGTAACTCTTTCACTGGTTCAGGAGATAAAAGACTTTGGGTTGTCCCATGACCTAATTGCCCATTATCTCCCAGTCCAAATGTCCAGCATACACTCTCTAACATGTCACTTGGACTTTTCTGAGCTAGTAAAGCTGTGTGGAAAGCGCCACATGATACCTCATACACTGACCAAGGGGATTCTGAATTAAAGGGCTCAATAACTTCAGGATACTGTCTGCTCTCCCTATCTCCCAGACCTAACTGCCCGTGGCTGTTGCCACCCCAAGAATAACAAACAAGATTACTCCCTTTGTAACCTTCCCCAGCAGTAACTAATGCGACAACATGCTCATTTCCACATGCCACCTTAACAACTGTGTGTCCATGGAAATTCCAGACAGGTATTGGATTACAACTGCTAGTAAGAGAGAATTCATTCTCAGTAGACTTGCTTTTCTGTGGTTCAGGAAAGTTTCCCCACAGCCATAGAGATCCAAGATTGTCTATTGCCGCTGACATCATTCCACCACCTTTAACTGAAGAAATCTACAGGAGAAAACAGAAAGATTAGCCACTGTCATCAACCTATTTCTTCTTTAAATTGATCAACTTGTTTCTTACCATCAGTTTCTTTCTCTCTGAGCCACTAGCTGATGAATTAGGAGAACCTAACTCAAGGAATCCCTCCAATAAATGAGGAACCAAAGAATTTTCTCCATTGAAACCAAGTTGTCCATCCATTTAACAGTCAAGGAAAAGAATGATTAATAACACATGCACAAGACAATTGCAAGTTCAATACGTTAAAGCTAATAATACTGAATGGTCACCATATAAACTATAAAGTGTGATGTAATTGCAAAGGAATCNATTCAATACGTTAAAACTAATAATACTGAATGGTCACCATATAAACTATAAAGCGTGATGTAATTGCAAAGGAATCCTCTCAAGGATACAGACATTGTATCCCCAGCCCCATACTGATCCATCATCTGCAAAAACAAAGAAATGCCAAATAAAATAAAAGGAAAATGGTGTCTGGGAAATCATGATAGATTAACAATTTTCCTTGTAAACAGCAGTATTTCTCCTGTTAGTATCAGTGTTCTTAATAAGCCAAAATTGCAATGACCTGAATCTTATTGTTGCCTTCCATATTAGCACAAATCTTATGGTTCCACAATTTTAGCATTCTGGAAGAAGCAAGCAAATAATCAGAAGATCAGGGCGAAGTGTTCTAAGAAAATTGTCACTTAAAATATAAATGCTCTCAATCCCTCACTATATTACTGTTGATCGTTCACAGAGATCCTACCTGCTTGTAGCTGCTGAAAACAATGATCGGGAATCATTGCAAACAGCAAGACCCTTGAGAGCCAAAAACTGCGTTTCCCTATTCCCTTTTCCTTGACTGCTCTAGGCATTCTAAACATAACAGAAAGCACCCTTTGGTCCTACTTCAATTAAGATCACCTTATCTTCAAGATGACAAGATCTGATTTTGAATTATCCACGCTTAGTTTGACCTTAAAAGAGGAGTGACCTGTGGTTGAATCCCCTAATAGGGATCATAGGTCATATCAACTTATTGGAACACAAGTGAATTTGCAGTTTCCTATCTAATCTGAAACACAATTCAGTAGACAAGGCTTCTCTAGGTGAAATATAATATTCATTGAAGAGAGCTTGAGAACTATAGTACTCCTTCTATCCCAATTTATGTGATGCACTTTCCATTTTAGTCTGTCCCAAAAAAATGATACTTTTCTACATTTAGAAAGAACTTAACTTTAAACTTCCCATTTTAACCTTAATGAGAAGATTTATAGACACACGAAGATGTATAGCTTATCTTAGACCGCAAGTTTCAAAAGTTTTTTTTTCTTTCTTCAACTCCATGCTAGACAAACTACATCACATGAAATGGGACAGAGAGTAATTTATTTTCTAAGGTAGAAAAGACTCGAAAAGCTTAAAAGAGAAAATTCCCAAGAAAAAAGTTCATCGGAATCACGATAAGCTTTCATTAAGTTTTGGATTCTACGACCACATCTCATACACTAGTGGATTAATGAATTGCGGTAACACTAGGCCATATATACAATGGTGGATCCACTATGGGTTCAACAATTCAGTAGAGCTCATGGCTATAGGCGCGATTCTCTATGTCTGTGTGTGTCTTAAAAACAAGTATTTTGTGTGTGTGTGTGTGTGTTCAGAACAACACTCTCAATTCATAACCCACAACGTTTAAATTCTTGATCCTCCCTCGCACATATATA